CGACTTCTGCGGCACCCTGTCCGGCACCCGCCCAGACCCCCCTGTGGAGTCATCTGCTGCTCTCTTTTTAGCCCATTAGAAACCTATCAGTCTTCGCTGTTAGGTAAAAAATCCAGTTGTAGAATTCTGCTGTTCTCGCAGTCGTAGTCGCATTCGCGATGACAGTCGCAGCGGCAACGGCAGTCGCAGTCACAGCCTCAACCTCAGCCTGCCTCAGCCTCAGCCTCAGCCTGCCTCAGCCTCAGCCTGCCTCAGCCTCAGCCTCAGCCTGCTTCAGCCTCAGCCTCAGTCTGCCTTCAGCCTCGGCCTCAGCCTCAGCCTGCCTCAGCCTCAGCCTGCATCAGCCTCAGCCTCAGCCTCAGCCTGCCTCAGCATCAGCCTGCCTCAGCCTCAGCCTCAGCCTGCCTCAGCCTCAGCCTCAGTCTGCTTCAGCCTCAGCCTCAGTCTGCCTTCAGCCTCGGCCTCAGCCTCAGCCTGCCTCAGCCCCAGCCTGCCTCGACCGCAGCATCAGCCTGCCTCAGCATTCAAAATGTGGCCCAGGAAAGGGAGTTCTGGGAAGTCGAAGAGCACGAAGTTGCCTACAGTTGGCTACGGGCATTCAAAATGTGGCCCGGGAATGGAGTTCTGGGAACTCGAAGAGCACGAAGTGGCCTACAGTTGGCTCCGGGCATTCAAAATGTGGCCCGGGAATGGAGTTCTGGGAACTCGAAGAGCACGAAGTGGCCTACAGTTGGCTCCGGGCATTCAAAATGTGGCCCGGGAATGGAGTTCTGGGGACTCGAAGAGCACGAAGTGGCCTACAGTTGGCTCCGGGCATTCAAAATGTGGCCCGGGAATGGAGTTCTGGGAAGTCGAAGAGCACGAAGTGGCCTACAGTTGGCTCCGGGCATTCAGAATGTGGCCCGGGAATGGAGTTCTGGGAGGTCGAAGAGCACGAAGTGTGTGACTGTTGGCTTAAAACGACTTCTGCGGCACCCTGTCCGGCACCCGCCCAGACCCCCCTGTGGAGTCATCTGCTGCTCTCTTTTTAGCCCATTAGAAACCTATCAGTCTTCGCTGTTAGGTAAAAACGACTCGGGATGACAAACTGGTCCTGGGGAAAGGGCCCAGACTTCTGGGGGTCCGCTTCACGAAGAAATCATGACGCCAGGGGCCTGGGAAGGGGGACACCCGCCGCCTGGGGAAGCCACCACTCGCGGCCTGCTGGTGCTGGTTGCCAGCGACGGCGCACCCTGGTTAGCAACCCGCGCTGGGACGGTGCAAGCCAAAGAGTGGCGCCCTGCACCAAGCAGAGGACCGCAGGCTAGCCCCAGGAGCCGATGAGGGCGACCGAGGAGGCCCCGGGGCGATCGGCCCCGAGGGTTCGCCCCCCCCCACCCCCCGAGCACTGTCCAGGACGGGGAGCCGAGAGCTCAGGGCGGCGCGATGGGCAGGAGCCCCGCCGGCCTCTCCAACGGCTGGCCGGAGCCCCGAGATCCGAGGCTCTGGACAACGAGTGGAGCGTGAGCCTGTTTTTCTTTAGATCCAGGCAAGCTTACTTGCATGGCGTTCGCCCCCCCCCCTCTCCCCTCGCCCCTCTGCAATCGAACACGAGCGTGCAGGTGCCTTTCGACTTGCGTGATTTCCGCACGTCGAATTGTTTTCGGCCTGCTTCAGACTCAGCCCCCCCCCGTCCATGCAAGTAAACTTGCCCGAATCCAAAGAAAAACAAGCACCGGTCGGATTCGGACTACTTCCGGCGGCCCGCAACGGGCCCCGGGGCCGTCGAGCAAGAAGCGACTCGGGACGAGAAGTCGGCCCCGGGGAAGTGGCCCAGACCTCCGGGGGCTGGAGGCCTGGAAATTGGCACCAACACCAACACAGGGGGTTGCTTCCGCAGGGGGAAGATGATCCTAGATTTCGGTGTTGGTGGTAACATTTCGGCCACCCTGGAAGCCAGAATATTACCACCATCACCGAGGTCGGGATCTTCTTCTCCCGGTGGAGCGGTGGAGGCACACCGCCGATATTGGTGTTGGTGTCAACCTCTAGGCCTGCGAGGGGGGTCCACGCATCGAAAACATGGGAGCGCTGGATGTCTGGGGGGGCGGCCCGATGGGCCGATGGGCAGGAGCCGCGCTGGCCTCTCAAACGGCTGGCATGAGGCGGCGCTCTTGTCAGAGGCCGACGTCCCGCAGCGGGCTTTACAGGGCGCCTCGGGCTGCCCGGGCGAGCTGCTGCGGCATGTCGGAGGATGAAAAATCACCAGATCGGTTGGCTCCCAGACATCCTCGCATCGCGAAACAATGATGGCGTTCCACCAGGCTAGATTCAGGCCGGATTAAGTCCAGGATGAAGCCGAACGAAGCGGGATGACGCCGGATTCAGCGGGGTGAAGCTGGATGAAGCGGGATGAAGCGGGATGAAACCATAGTGGGACAGCTTCGACCAGGCTTATGCCAGCGCCGATTCTGAGTTTAAACTCACTTGAGCTGCATCCTCCTAGAAGGAAGTTTGCCCACTTTTGGCCTCGAGGGGAGGGGGGCCCTCGCCAAACCCCCGGGGCCGAGAAACTCCGGCTCGGGATGAAAGCCAGTCCCTAGTAACTGCGGGGTTCAGACCTAGGCACTGCGCAAAATCACGACGCTGGATGTCTGGGAGCTCTGTGCAGCCGGACCTAGGCCAGAGAAACACCCTTCAAGAACATGAGACCCTCCGCCCTCCAAAACACACAGAGCATCCAAGGGTACCCTCCCCAGGATGCACAAGAACGTCCAACAAGCACGAAGGACATTACGGCACCCTTCCCGAACCGACCTCGATCTTATACCTCGGTCCGCCGCCGAATTTGACTGGGGGGTCAAGACTCGGGTCTCTGGCGGCCGTTCGGGACGATCCCGGCACCCAGAGAAAGCTCGCGGCGAGGCGCAGCCGCTGGAACGCATCCCGAGGCTAGAAAACCGGCGAGAAGCGACTAAAACGTCCGAAAACCTCGAACCTCGAAAAACACGAAAAACATTAAGGTACCCTCCCCGAACCTGGGGAGACCAAGATGTACCCATTCCGCTACTCCCCGGACCTCTCCCGGGGTGCGTTCTGACCAGGACTTCGAGGCGAATCCAGCGGTGGCGACGAGGGCCTCCCAGGAGGCCCAAAAGGGGAAAACGAAGGAAAGGTAGAGTATGAGTACCTTTTCCTCCTCCCCAAACCGACCATAGATCTCTTTCTACCTCGGTCCGACTGCATAGCAGGGAGCTCGGCCAACCCGCGTGGCTGGCGGGCCGCGCGCGTGCCCCACGCGCGGCAGGGCCGGCTGGCCGAGGCTCGGGCTGCCGAGGAGGCGGGGCATCTGCTGGTGGAGGGAGCGGAAGCGGTGGCCAACGGTCGGGGGCGCGCAAGCATGGATCAGCGATCCGTGGATTTGGCGCGCGGTCGCCAAATCCATGGATCGGGGGAGGTGCCCTCCCCAAAACGCGGCCGGTGCCGCCTCGCTCGGCGGCGGAAATCCGCGACTTCCCATGGAAACGGGACCCGTCGCTAATCCACGCCCCCTTAATCCATGTTTGCGATCGCCTGAATCTAGGCCTCCTGGATGGGGTCGGAGTGGACGGGGTCGGTGGATCGCGCCGCATCGGCGACGCATCGGCAATGCATCAACGATACGCCTCGATGCGGAGCCGATTTCCTACACGCCGACGTCGCCGATGCGGCGCGATCCTCCGACCCCATCTACTTGGACCCCATCTAGAAGGCACCAAAACTGAACGCGGAAACGTCGGTGTCGACCCAGACATGACCGCGTGGGTTAAGAAAAAAAAAAAAACTCGACGGGAGGTGTTTGGCCATCTTCGGCCTCTGGGGACCCTCGACGGGCCTCAGGACCTTGAAACAACGACTCAGGATGGGAAACCGGCCCCAAGGAACGGGTCGGGACTTCCGGGGTCCGCGTAGTGAACAAATCAGGACGTCGCGTGTCTGGGGATCTTGGTCATCGTCCGTCCTGGTCAGTGTCAGTTCGTGCATCATCCTCGCGAACCAGCGAGGGCTGGCAGGGATCACTGATGGGCCGATCACCCACCACCACTACTATGGGTAGGAGGAGGGGGAGGAGGAGGAGGAGAAGAAGAAGGATAATGAGGAGGAGAAGGAGGATCTCCCCATCCTCCCCTCTCTCCCGTGCTACCTATGGTAGTGGTGGTGGGAAAAAAGCCCATCAAATTCGTGCATCATCCCCGCGAACTGGCGACGGCCCGCAGGGATCATGACCACGCTTGGCGTCGACAAGATCATGTGGAGGAGGAGGAGGAGGAGGCGGAGGAGGAGGAGGCGGAGGAGGAGGAGAAAGAGGAGGAGGAGGAGGAGGAGGAGGAGGAGGAGGAGGAGGAGGAGGAGGGATCATGGCCACGCTTGGCGTCGACAGGATCCCGAGACACATCGTGGTCATGGTCGGCGCGCTTCTTCCCTCGAGCTGAGAGCCTACTGCCAGCCCCACACCTTCCGGAACGGGGCGCCCAGGGCGTCCTCGGAGGAGCCAAAAAAACATACACATGAATTGCTGGAGGCAACGCTGTTTTTCGTTTTGCTCTGCCTGTTCCCCTGCACCTCCCTCCCAAAACGAAAAACACAACACAGCCGAAGTCCAGCAAAGCAGCGTTTAGGTCCAGCGCTGGTTGGAGGTCCGCGAGGCGTTCTTGGATCTGCGCTGGATCCCCCTCCTCGGCGCGCGGAGCGCGCCAGGGGCGGCGCCGGAGGCGCCGCCAGGGGAGGGGCGGGCCTGCGACAGACCAAGAAATCCGCGCGTACCGTCGAAAGTTTCTGTTTATGCTGTGCTTTCCTCCTGAAAGGTGTCCAGCTGTCCAGGAGGCCGACGAGGCCGACGCCGACGAGGCCGACGACGGTGACGACGACGACGACGAAGCCGACGACGACGACGACGACGACGACGACGACGACGACGACGACGACGACGACGACCACGACGTCGACGTCGTCATCGTCGTCGAGCTGTTGAGCTGTCCGTCCTCTGTGGCCAGCTCGAGTGCCTGCTTCGCCCGCCTCTTGGACACCTCCGGCCTGACGGCCCGCTCCGCGGCCTCCCACAGCAGCGCGCTCCACGTGAGCCGCGTCCTCTGGGGCTTCTTCGCCTGCAAGCAGGGCTGAACCTAAACGGTGTTTTTAGTTTTCGTGTTGGTCTTCGTTCTTCCTCGTTTTGCCATCGCTTCGCCTTGAATGCAAAATTAGCCTGACGAAAGACCCAACCATATGCAGCTGCGAGTGCCGCGAGGGAGATGAACGAAGGAGGGGGCGCGCAAACTCCGAGTAACGCACGCGGTCTAGCCTTCTGCCAGGAAGCGTATGAAGGCTGCGCCGACATGAGTCGGGAGGATGCCTGCGAACGTCGCCATTGGGGCCTTCGGTGGAGCTCCCTATGGGGCCACGAAACGTGTGAAGGGTGTGCCGAAATGGGGCGGCGGTGCCATGCGAACTTTCCCACTGGGGCCTTAGGTGGAGCTCCTTATGGGGCCACGAAACGTGTGAGGGGTGTGCCGAAATGGGGCAGCGGTGCCACGGGACCACAAAACGTGTGAGGGGTGTGCCGCAATGGGGCGGCGGTGCCACGCGAACTTGCCCACTGAGGCCTTAGGTGGGGCTCCCTGTGGGGCCACGAAACGTGTGAGTGGTGTGCCAGAATAAGGCGGCGGTGCCATGCGAACTTCCCCACTGGGGTCTTCCGTGGAGCTCCTTATGGGGCCACGAAGCGTGTAAGGGGTGTGCCGAAATGGGGCGGCGGTGCCATGCAAACTTTCCCACTGGGGGCTTCGGTGGAGCTCCCTATGGGGCCACGAAACGTGTGAGGGGTGTGCCAGAATGGGGCGGCGGTGCCATGCGAACTTCCCCACTGAGGCCTTAGGTGGGGCTCCTTTTGGGGCCACGAAACGTGTGAGATGTGTGCCAGAATGGGGCGGCGGTGCCATGCGAACTTCCCCACTGGGGCCTGAGGTGGGGCTCCTTATGGGACCACGAAACGTGCGAGTGGTGTGCCGAAATGGGGCGGCGGTGCCACGCGAACTTCCCCAACGGGGCCTTCGGTGGAGCTCCCTATGGGGCCACGAAACGTGCGATGGGTGTGCCGAAATGGGGCGGCGGTGCCATGCAAACGTTCCCATTGGGGCTTTCGGCGGAGCTCCCTATGGGGCCACGAAGAGCGTGAGGGGTGTGCCGAAATGGGGCGGCGGTGCCATCAAACTTTCCCACTGGGGCCTTCGGCGGAGCTCCCTGTGGGGCCACGAAACGTGTGAGGGGTGTGCCAGAATGGGGCGGCGGTGCCATGCGAACTTCCCCACTGGGGCCTGAGGTGGGGCTCCTTATGGGACCACGAAACGTGCGAGGGGTGTGCCAAAATGGGGCGGCGGTGCCATGCGAACTTCCCCACTGGGGCCTGAGGTGGGGCTCCTTATGGGACCACGAAACGTGCGAGGGGTGTGCCAAAATGGGGCGGCGGTGCCATGCGAACTTCCCCACTGGGGCCTTAGGTGGAGCTCCCCATGGGCCACGAAACATGTGAGGGTGTGCCGAAATGGGATGGGCATGCGAAGAGCAGAGGCAGTGAGGGGAGGAGGGAGGAGGAGGAGGAGGAGGAGGAGGAGGAGGAGGAGGAGGAGGAGGAGGAGGAGGAGGAGAGGAAGGGGGAGGGGGAGGAGGAACTCAGGAACGCGGGGCACTCTCTTCACAAAGAGGACCCAACATTACAGGATGGTTGGGAACAAAACGAAAAACGAAACAGCCCACGAGATGACCAAAACACCGTTTAGGTCCAGCCCTGGCCTGCGAGAACCTGTTCTCCGCGATCTTCTGCATCAGGCTGGCAGCGTCGCAGTTGGCCTTGTGTTGCTCATCGATGAAGACAAGAGACCATGAGCATCACCTTTCGGAAGGCCGCGCGGGCTTCTCGAATCGCCGCTGGACCCCGTTCCCCTGGCACGCAGAGCGCGCCAGGCGGGGGGGGGGGGCCGCGCCACTTCATGAAATCCGCGCGGAGCTCCGAAAGCTTATGCCTATGCACGTTGTTCTTCTTCGAGCTCGCACACCCTCTCGTACTCTGCCTTCGCGCGGCTGACCTCCGCGTCCCGGACCTTCTTCGCGCGCGAGATGGCGTCGTCGGCCACCACCTTCTGGGGAAACCACGAGGCACCGACACCGCTACTCCCCAGACCTCTCCCAGGGTGCGTTATGACAAGAATTTCGAGGCGAATCTAGCGGTGCCGACAAGGGCCACCCATAAGGCCAAAAAAGGCGAAAGCAAGGGAAGGGTGCATGCAACGTTCTGATTTGTTGTATAGTACGCGGTCCCTGGAAGTCCCGACCCTTTCCCTGGGGCTGGTTTCTCATCCTGAGCAGTTTCTTGAATGCCCTGGGGCTCGGCGAGGGTCCCCAAAGACCGAAAATAGCCAAGAACCTCCCGTCGTGATTTTCAACGCCACGATCATGTCTGGGTTCTCCTCCTCCGAACCTTGACCACCCTCGCCTGCTCCCGCCTGGAGCCGACCTCTTGCGCGAAGCTGCTGAGGATGCGGTGCGGCAGGTAGTCCTTAGGGGGCTTCGGTGCCTTGGGCTTCGGCCGCCGCATCTTGTCCTCCCTCGGGTCGTCGGAGGCCTGCTTCGCCTGAGTACTCCTGAGCTTCTTCACCTGGGGAAACACATGGATATGTAAGGAAACGCAAAAATACAAACATAAAAACTCGGAGGTCCGCGCGGACGTCTTGGATGCGGCGCCTGGGCCCCCCTTTCCTGGCGCGCGGAGCTTCTTCGCCGGGGGGACCAAAAGATACCGATACGATAGGGGAACAAACAGCGGCATAAACATCAGAGTGAGGGGGCTGAACCGAACGGTCGTTCACTGTCCCTGGGTTACGTGGCTGAAGTGGACTTCCGCGATGCGGATTACTGTTGTTGTTGTTGTTGTTGCGGTTGTTGTTGCTGTTATTGTTGATGATGTCGTTGTTGTTTTTGTTGTTTGTTGTTTGTTGTTTGTTGTTTGTTGTTTGTTTGTTGTTTGTTGTTTCTTGTTTGCTGTTTGTTGTTGTCGTCGTCCCACCCGCGACCTGCCCCGCGACCCACCCGCGACCCAACCCGCGACCCACCCGCGACCCACCCGCGACCCACCCGCGACCCACCCCGCGACCCACCCGCGACCCCACCCGCGACCCGCCCGCGACCCACCCCGAGACCCCCCCGGCGAGCCCCCCGCGACCCACGCGCGACCCACCCGCGACCCACCCCGCGACCCACCCGCGACCCACCCGCGACCCACCCGCGACCCACCGCGACCCACCCACGACCCACCCGCGACCCACCCCGCGACCCACCCAAAATTTTCGGCGCCTGCGGCGGGTTTCTTTTGCATTCGTTCCAGGTGGAGAACCTGCGACCACCCGACCCAAACCGCGTCCGCGAACACCGCGACCCACCGCGACCCACCCGCGACCCACCCTGCGACCCACCCAAAATTCTTGGCGCCTGCGGCGGGCTTCTTTTGCATGCGTTCCAGGTGGAGAACCTGCGACACACCCGCGACCCAAACTGCGTTCAGTATACAAATCACTTGTTTCGGCGCCTGCGGCGGGCTTTTGAATTCCTCCCAGGTGGAAGTGGAGAGCCCGCGACCCACCCGTGACCCAAACTACGTTCACTGAACAAGCCAAAACTTCGGCGCCTGCGCTGGGTTTCTTTTGCAGTCGTTCCAGGTGGAGAACCTGCGACCAAAACCGCGTTCAATGTACAAGTCAAAATTTTCGTCGCCTGCGGCGGGCTGTTTTTGAATTCCTTCCAAGTGGAATTTTAGAGCCCGCGACCCACTCGCGACCCAAACTACGTTCACTGAACAAGCCAAAAATTCGGCGCCTGCGGCGGGCTGTTTTTGCATTCGTTCCTGGTGGCCCACCAGCGATCCCCCCCCGCGCTGAACTTGTCAGAGCACGCAAATCGGCTCCTGCGGCGGGCTTGCTCGCATTGGTTTGCTGGAGGAGGAGGAGGAGGAGAAGGAGGAGGAAAAGGAGGAAGAGGAGGAGGAGGAGGATGAGGTGGAGGAGCAGGAGGCGACGACGACGACGACGATGACGCGAACGAGGAAGAGAAGGAGGAGGAGGAGGAGCAGGAGGAGGAGGAGGGCGCCACCGACAGGAAGGTGAGGGCCACGAGGTCCGCCGGCTCGACCCCCGCGTCGCCCGCGCTCGCCCTCACTCTGATCCGCAATTGCGGGGTGCTACGTAAAAACTCGAAGGTCCGCGCGGATTTCTCGGATCGGCGCTGGGGCACCCTTCCCTGGCGCGCCAAGCTTCTTCAGTGGGGGAAACCAAAAGATACCAATATCACAAGGGGACTCAACAACAACATAAACATGAAGACTCAAAGGTCTGCGCGAATTCCTCGGATCCGCGCTGGGACCCCCTGGCGGCGCCTCTGTCGCCGCCACCGGCGCGTTCCACGCGCCGGGGAGTGGGGTCCAGCGCCGATCCGAGAAATCCGCGCGGACCTCCGAATTGTTATGTTTATGGTCACTGTCTGTTCCCCATGATACGGCCCCTCCCTGGACCTCTCCCTGAAGGCGTTCCGGCCAGGCTTTCGGGGCGAATCCAGCCCTGGCGACGATGGCGTCCCAGGGCGCGGCGTCGGAATGAATTGCGAGGAAGTCCCACGCGAGAGCGCGATTCCCACATAGATTGCAAGGGGATCCGAGCACTTGTGAGGAGGTATCAAGCGTGAGCCGCGGTTGTTGTGAACCAGGGGCCCAAAATGCGAAAACGAAGTCAGGGCAGCTGCATCGGGGCCACTTCTAGGGGGCCGCATGCGAACCCTACCCCTACCCCCCACGATTTCTGAGGGGGAGGGTGGGGTTCACTTCGTTCGAGAGCTCCCGAATGAAGTGAACCCCACCCTCCCCCTCAGAAATCGTGGGGGGTAGGGGTAGGGTTCGCATGTGGCCCCCTAACTTCACTCCCCCGATCACCTGCGGCTCGGGCTTCGGGTGCGGCTTCACGCGCCTCGCCTTGAGGTCGCCAGGCTCCTTCGGCTCCTTCGTGCAGGGGGCGAGCCGAGACAGCGGCAGCTCAAGTCGACCCCCCGACCCCCCCCTCCCCCGGGTCCTCCAAGCGCAGAGTTTTCTGAGCTGCGTCCAGCCATAGCGACGAGAGGGCCCCCCCGAAGGCCAACTGCCGTTGTCTCAACTACCTCCCCCGAAATGCGATGTCCTGACTTTTCCAATACGCGGTCCCCAGAAGTCCCGACCGTTTCCCCAGAGCCAGTTTCCCATCCCGAGTCGTACTTTAGCGGCCCAAGGGCCTCGCGGGGGCCCCCAGAGGCCGAAAACGGCCAAGAACCTTCCGTCGTGATTTTGCCACGACGCGAGCATGTCTCAGCTCGCCCTCCCCTGACTTAGGAGGCAACTCCTGGGAAGTCTTCGTCAGAACGATTAAGGGCATGAGGCCAGAGAAAGCCCAGGATTAACCCGGATTCAACGGGATCAAGCTGGACTCAGCGGGAGGAAGCCAGATTAAGCAGGATTAAGCCCGATGGGTCCAGTGTTCGACCAGGGATATGCCAGCGCCGATTCCGAATTTGAGCTCCCAGGAGCTACAGCTTGGTCTGCAGAACTAAACGATGACATGGACAACAACTCGGAGGTCCGCGCAGATTTCTTGGATCGGCGCTGGACCGCACTGGGCTTTCCCTGACCTGCCCAGACATGCGACACCCCGATTTTGTTCGACAGGCGATCCCCGAAAAAAACCCTACCCCTTCCCCAGGACTGGCTCTTCCTCCTGAGTCCCCCCGGAGGCCGAAACTGGCCTCAAACCTCCCGTCGTGATTCTTTTGTACGACGCGAACATGTCTACGACCTTCACTGGCGCGCGGAGCGGACCAGAGGCGGCGCCAGAGGCGCCGCCTGGTCGAACACAAGGCTGAATCCCGCTGAATCCGACTTCCTCCCGACGAATCCAGCTTGATCCTGTTCACTCTGGCTTAATCCTGGCATTTCTCTGGCCTTTATCTGGCCTCGTGCCCTTACAATCAAAAGGAGTATCAAGGACGGGTGGTAAGGACGCAGGACCCTTGGAAGTCGAAGTTGGGATCTTTAAAGCGGCGGGCGACCACCGAAAACGGCAAGGGACAGGCCGCAGAGGCAAGGACACAAGGGCACCCTAGATGAGGGCGCGCGTCCTTATACCGGGCGGACTGACTGTTATCGTCCTGACGAAAACCTCCCAGGAGTGCTCTGTGGTCAGAGCCTCCTGGATGGGGTCGGAGTAGATGTTGTCGGAAGATCGCGCCGCGATGCATCGCCGATGAACCGGCGATGCATCGGCCATGCACTGGCGACGCCGGCGATGCATCGGCGCCGTCGGCGTGGAGAAAGTCGGCTTCGCATCGAGCCGCATCGGCAATGCATCGGCGATACGGCGCGGTCCTCCGACCCCATCTACGCCGACCCCATCTAGAAGGCCTAGAGTTTTAAGTCGGGCATGTCCTCCTACAGGCGGATTTTGGAAGAAAAACAAAAAAAACAAAAAAAGTAAAAAAATCGCCCCATACTATTTTTGACTACTGTTGAATACTCCTCCTTTACGGCAGGTTCGTGTCGTGCCGACCCCAGCGTTGGTTTTTGACACCGCAGGGATCGTTCAACCTTAAACGATCGGCCGCTGCCGCAACGTCCGATCGTTCAACATCGATCGATTCTGGGTCGCCGGCGGCGTTCAACCTTGAACGCCCGCGCTGGGGTCGCCGCTGGTCGACACGACGCAAACCTACCGTACAGGGACTGGTCTGACCTTCACCTGCGCGATGGCCGGCCGCGCCGCCCGCCCGCCCAGCAGGGAGACGAGGCCCAGGGCGACCCAGAGCGGCGCCTGGGGCCCCCGAGCGGCGCCGCGGCGCCCGGGGCCAGCTGCGCGAGACGCGCGCGCGGGACGCATGGCCGCGCCAGGCGCCCGCCTGGCAATGCGAGCCTCGGGTCTCCGGTTCACCAGACGCCCTCCTCCTCCTCCGCTTTCTCCTCCTCCCCCTCCTCCTCCTCCTCCTCCTGCTCCGCCTCCTTCTCCTCCTCCTCCTCCTCCTCCTCCTCCTTCTCCTGCTCCTGCTCCTGCTGCTCCTCCTCCTCCTCCTCCTCCTCCTCCTCCTCCACCTCCTCCTCCTCCTCCTTCTCCTCCACATTATCATCATCATTATCATCAGCAGCATCATCAACATCATCATCAGCATCATCATCAGCATCATCATCAGCAGCAGCATCAGCATCAGCATGTTCATCATCACCATCATCATCCTCCTCATCATCATCAGCATCATCAGCAGTCGTAGGGAACACACACACACACCGCCCCCTTCAAAAGGGAGGGGGGGGTCCGGACACCCCCCCCTCCCCCCCTTTGGCCGCCAAATTCGACACACCCCCCTCCCCCCCTTTCGCCCCAGCCCCCCGGCTCTGGAACCTGACCTCTGCCACCCCTAACACTACCACCCCGACCACCCGTAACCCGAACCCCGAACCCGAACCCTAGCCCCCAACAGTACACAGTGCTCACTACCCCCTACTCACTACCCATTACTCACTACTCGCTACCCACGACTCACTTCCCACTACTCACTGCTCACGACTCACGACGCACTACTCACTACCCACTACCCACTACCCCTTACCCACTACTCACTACTCACTACTCACTACTCAATACTCCCATCTCACAAATCACTACTTACTACTCACTACCCACTAGTCAGTACGCACTACTCACAGATGACACCGGAGAAAAAAACCCAATCAGATTTTTGTTGGGGCTATGGGGCTGTAGGGCTATAGCGCTATAAGGTTATGAGGCTATAGGGCTACTGGGCTATAAGGCTATAGGGCTATAAGGCTGTAGAGCTATACGGCTATAGGGCTATAAGGCTATGGGGCTATCGGGCTATAGGGCCATAGGGCTAGTGGGTTATAGGGCTATAGGGCTATAGGGCTATAGAGCATGGGGCTATAGTTATAAGGCTATTGGGCTATTGGGCTATATGCTATTGGGCTATTGGGCACCGCCGGGCACCCGGGCACCCGGGCCCGGCCACCGAAATCGGCGACCAACCTCACTGGCCACCCGGGCACCCGGGCACCGCCGGGCACCCGGGCCAGGCCACCGAAATCGGCGACCCACCTCACCTAAACCTTTAATCCGCTAGGACCCCTACAAAGGCAAGCTATGATTGGGAAAAAACTACTCACGATCCACTACTCACTACTCATTATCCACTACTCACTACCCACTAACCAGTATCCACTACTCACTACTGCGTACTCACAACTCACTACTCTCTACTCACTGCTCACTATTCCCTTCTCACTATCCGCTGCTCGCTACTCACTACTCCCTACTCCTTGCACAGTACGCACTGCTGACTACTCACTACTCACTTCACTACTCGCTACTCCCTATTCGTTACTCGCTACCCGATACGCAATATTCACAACCCAGTACGCACGATTCACTACTCACTACTCCCTACTCCCTACTCCCTACTCCCTACTCACTAGTCACAAGTCACTACTGACTAATCAGTACTCACTACTCACTACTCACGACTCACTACTCACTACTCAATACTCTCTACTCGCTACTCCCTACGCACTGCCCACTACTCACTACCCACTTCTCACTTCTCACTACTCACTACTCCCTACTCACCACTCACTACTCAGTACTCACATTCGCTACTCACTACTCGCAACTCCCTACTCGCTACTCACTTCTCCCTACTCACTACTCACTACTGACAACTCCCTCCTCACTACTCACTACTCACAGTGCACTACTCGCTACTTACTATTCACTACTCGCTACTCCCTAGTCGCTACTCACTACCCACCTTTCCACTACCCACTACTCACTACTCACGACTCACTACTCACTACTCGCTGCGAACTACTCACTACTCAATACTCACTACTCACTACTCACTCCTCACTACTCGCAACTATCTACTCACTACTCACTGTTCACGAATCACTACTCACTATTCTCTACTCACTACTCACTATCCCGAGGCCAGACCCCCCCCCTTTGCGGGAGAGGCCCCCTCCCCGGCCCCCTGTTCGGCGCAAAAGGGGGGAGGGGGGGGTGAAGGCCGAACCCCCCCCTTCCAGCGCCAAGGGGAGGAGGGGGGGGGTCTGGACCCCGCCCCCCCTCCTTCAAGGGGGGGTGGGGGGGGTTCGGACCCCCCCTCCCCTTTTAAGGGGAGGAGGGGGGGAGGGGTCGAAAATCTCCCCCTCCTTTGAAGGGGGGGAAGAGGGGGGGGGGTTTGCGAGCACCCCCGCCTTTTCAATTACAGGGTGATCCAGTGGCGCACTTTCGTAATACTAAAAGTGGAAGTAATAGTAGTCGTCGTCGTCGTCGTCGTCGTCGTCGTCGTCGTCGTCGTAGTGGTAGTAGTAGGAGTAGTCGTAGCAGTAGTAGAAGTAGTAGTAGTAGTAGTAGTAGTAGTAGTAGTAGTAGTAGTAGTATAAGTAGTAGTAGTAGTCGTGTAGTAGTAGTAGCAGCAGTAGTAGTAGTAGTACTAATACTAGTAACGTAGTAATAGTAGAAAGCAGTAGTATAGTAGAGAAGGTAGGTACTTCTTATTTATTTTTTCAGCAAATGGATACTAGTAGTAGTTTTTTCAGTTAGTTACTATTAGTATAATTAGTGAGTAGTTAGTTAATGTAGTTAGTAGTAGTAGTACTCGTCGTAGTAGCTAGTTAGTAGTCGTCGTAGTCATAGTCGTAGTAGTAGTCGTATCGTAGTCGTAGTCGGTAGCTCGCAGTCGCAGTCGCAAGTCCGCAGTCGTAAGTCGTAGTGGCCGTAGTCGTAGGTCGTAGGTCGTAGGTAGTAGTAGTAGTAGTAGTAGTAGTAGTAGTAGTAGTAGTAGTAGTAGTAGTAGTAGTAGTAGTAGTAGTAGTAGTAGTATTGGTAGTAGTAGTAGTAATAGTAGCAGTAGTAGTAGTAGAAGTAGTAGCAGAAGAAGTAGTAGTAGAAGTAGTAGTAGTAGTAGTAGGAGTAGTTGTACTAGTAGGTGTTAGTCGTAGTAGTAGCTGTAGTAGTAGTAGTCGTCGTAGTAGTAGTAGTAGCAGTAGCAGTAGTAGAAGTAGTAGTAGCAGCAATAGTAGTAGTAGTAGTAGTAGTAGTGGTGGTAGTAGTGTTAGAAGTCGAAGTAGTGGTAGTAGCCGTAAGAAGAGGAAGCCAAAGACAAATCAGAAGTGGTAGTATCAATCGTAGTAGTACCCAGTCAAAGGAGAAGAAGTGGTAGTAGTAGCAACAGCAGCAGCAATATTAGTAGTAGTAGTGATAGTAGTAGTCGTCGTCGTATTAGTAGTGGTAGCAGTAGTAGTAGTAGTAATAGTAGCA